TCACTGCTCAATGGCCAATATTCTTATTTATTCCGACTCCCAGGAAGGTGTAGAAAAAATTACTAAAAAAGTAATGGAAACATTGGAAAATTCTGGATTGAAACTCAATAAGGAAAAATGCATTTTCAATGTCAAAAGAGTTAAGTTTCTTGGCCTTATTGTAACATCTTATCTTTTATTTTATATTTTTACCTGATCCATGATATTATCGTGTTTCAAGTCTGTTGGATTTTGGAACACAAAAAAAAAAGTTACCACTCAATAAAGTTGGAAAATTGTTTTCATTTCACCGTCATTGTGTTTCATTAATTGGAACTATTATGTGAAGTTTTTAGACAAAGAACCAGCAACTATTGTTCAAAAACAAAAAGAAACCAAAAAAATCACACTTTCAAACAAAAAAACACCAAATCACGAGTTCGTTTAGGACAAAACTGAAACGACGTGTGTGGGTTTTTTTTTGCATTGCAAAATAATTGGCAAAAAGGTAAAAGGTCGATACAGTTTGCAAGGTTAATTAATACTCGACCGAATTTTAACAATCGCATAAATTAAAAAAAGACCCTGTTGCGTCACTGCAGTATTTTCCTCATCTCGTGCCAACGTATAACCTTAATAATAAGGACTTACGTTGATCAGCAGAGTGTAAAACATCACAAATAAGTCAACGTTACTAAGCACATTTTAATTTATTTATAATTATACGAAAATTGGGTTGGGTTTAGCACTTTTTTGACGAAAATTGACATCCCGACTGTATACGGAAATGGAAAATATCTCGTCGGCGTGTTTTCCATTAGGCGATGTTGCCAGGAATTTTCCCTATACTTGACCCTTCCAAAAACCAATTAATTGACTATACACTATCTATTTTTGTTTTGGATTTTTTCCAATGTTTCCAGAATTTAATATAGTTTGACTGCTTTGGTCACTTTATCGTAAGTATGATGTGTATGATGACTTTGTATAGGGTATTACAAATTCGTTAGTTTTTGGGCCACCTTTTCTTCAGAAAAAAATGAGATTTTATTTTTGGATTTCCATCAATACATGCCAGTGTAAACCCAGTCATTTCGATTGAATTAATACCTCAATATCACCAATCAAGTCAACTATAGAAATTGCAATGGTTTTAGGTACATTTACATCAGAACATTGAAATATTATAAAAATGAAAAATTTGCTTGTATTTTTGAAGATTTTTGAAATCATTGTACATTTTTTTGGGAATCACATAGTTATCAATCAGGAATACATGGAAATCGCTTGGGATTCCCTAGGAATAGTCTGGGAATTGCTAGGAATCTCCTAGGACTCCATGGGAGTCACATAGGAATCCATTGGTGATGACTACAAAGTTGAGGTTATGTAATTGAATAAACAGATACATAACCTTTTTTGCGGTAGTTAGTAACCATTTGATCTAAGATTGGAAAAGTCAAAATCGAAAAAAATCAAAAATTAAACTTACGAGTTTTTCAAAAAGGTACCTCGAGGGGTAAACCACTAGTGGAAATCATTGTAAATTTTTTTGGAAATCACATAGTAATTAATCAGGAATACATGGAAATCACTTGGGAGTCCCTGGGAATAACCTGGGACACGCAATCTCCTAGTACTCCATGGGAATCACATAGAAATCCATTGGTAATGACTACAAAGTTGAGGTTATGTAATTAAATAAACAGGTACATAACCTTGTTAGCGGTACTTGGTAACCATTTCTTTTAAGATTGGAAAATGCGATTTTTAACGCCAAAAAAGCGTCCAATCAAGAGCCGAGAATATTCAAAATTCTAATTCGATAACTAATCAAAAAAAAAATTCGATTTGTACTTAAAAAGTCTACTTATTAGGTCGAAAAGGTCCCAAGACCCCAAAAAAAAAGGCCCTTTGTAGGTACAAACGAAGATTTTTATACCCGAAAAAAAGGGCCCAGAATCAGGAGGCCTCCAGCCTTCGGGATCCTTTTTTTTTTAAGGCTGAGCCCCCCTACAACTTGTCAAGGAACGATTTGTTCCGATATTTTATGAATTTATAAATTTTAGACGATTAATTATTATTACAACTTACTTTTGAATGGTTTTGGGGCCACTTTGCACTAAGTTTAGCCAGAAAACGGGATACCCCAGCCAAAACAAACCGACGCCATTTTGGATTGATTGTCAAAAATTACAAGGCCTACTTTGAAACGTCAAATTCCTAGTACTCCATGGGAATCACATAGGAATCCATTGGTAATGACTACAAAGTTGAGGTTATGTAATTGAATAAACAGGTACATAACCTTGTTAGCGGTACTTGGTAACCATTTCTTTTAAGATTGGAAAAGTCAAAATTCGAAAAAAATCAAAAATTAAACTTCCGAGTTTTTCAAAAAGGTACCTCGAGAGGTAAACCACTAGTGGAAATCATTGTACTTTTTTTTGAAAATCTACTTTGACGTTTCGCTTTTCGACGATGACGTAATTTTACTTAAAAAATTTATTTTTTCTATTTTGGTGTCATATCGAAGTCTTTTCGACACTAAAAGTAGTTTCGAAAAGAGGCTCTTTGTCTCTTTGTGATACTCCTTTTTTACTTATCAGAGGTTGGTAACACTGGCTGACTAATGGCCATCGATGGTCATTCGCGATTTTATAATAGAAGATTTCTATATTTAGCATGTAGTGTTACCAACCTAAACATATGAAATCGAAATATGAGAATAAAATTTCCAATAAAAATTTGTTTTTTTTAATTAAACAATACCAAAATAGAAAAAATAGTATAAAATATTCGTTTCATAAGACATTTTATCGCACTCGCCCTATATAGGGCGAGTGCGATAAACACTCGCCCTATATAGGGCGAGTGCGATAAAATGCCGTCTTATGAAACTTGTATTTTAATGTACTATTTTACAATAGTTTTCCATTTTACTGTGGGTAACATCAAAAAATGGGTATCAGCAGAAAATCACAAACAAAAATAAATACTTATTGAGGCTGAAATTCATAAACATAGCTATCAGCTGTTAAAATTATGAATACAAAATAAGGTAATACTTAACACTTACTACAGTCTTCCAATAACTGTTATTTTCTTGGAGAAATAGTGCTGATGCACTAATAAAATAACGTAAATCCTTAACACTGCCAAGCAGTATTTAATAGTTCCAATAACTCTCTAATAATTAATCAGTAATACATGGAAATCACTTGGGAGTCTCTGGGAATAATTTGGGAAACGCTAGGAATCTCTTAGAACTCCATGGGAATCGCATAGGAATCTACTGGTAATGGCTGAGAATCATATGGTAATCGCTGGAAATATCATCTCATTCTAACCCAGAAATCGCATATCATAAATTTTAAACGATACAGCTTACCGGTCAGTTGTGTATTTGCCTTTAGGACTAAGTTTTAGGCAACATTGAGGGCGAGTTCTCATGAGCGTAAGTTGACATTTCTGGCGTAATCACGTGATAAATTGGTTGGGCTTTATTGGTTAAATATTTGCTATGCTGAATATTTTACCATATTATCATTATCACGTGATTACGCCAGAAATGTCATCTTACGCTCATGAGAACTCGCCCTGAGTGCTTGACAATTTGAAATGAATTCTCAACTGATATCTCAACGAGTTTCCAAATAACCGAGCCAATAACGGAACCCGAAACTACGAAGAGTTCAGAATTTAGAGAAATAGAAGTAGAACAAGATGAAGATTAAGTCTGTTCTCACAGAAATCACAAACCAGTTAGAGTGTTTTTAATTTTAACTAAATTTCCTTCTCTAAATTTTCATTTTCACTTTTCACTTTCACTTTTCTTTCTCTTTCATTACATAACAAAATTGGTATGGAAAAGTGTAACAAAATTGGCGCCCAACGTGGGGCAACATAAAAAAAAGGGTAACACCCAGGATTTCATTCGAGTTATACATATTATTGCCTGTGCCCTTGTTGCTAATGGTACCTGTTCAGAGGGCGGATTCCTACCGATTCGGGAGTTCAATTCGAATGTCGCAACCTCTGACTCGTTTGTGATTTCTGTGAGAACAGAGTATGACAATGTTGTAGACCATAGAAGTGAAAACATGAATCTTGAAATCTCTCTTGAATCCGACTTGCTAAGAGAAGACACAGAATTTCTTCACACATCAGGATTTAGCAATTGCGATTTGCTACAATTAAGAGATTATTCAGGACTTATCCCCATCCACTAGCGAATTACCGATGGGGTAAAAAAGTTTCCTCCTTGAATGAAAAATTCACGTGTCCGAGCGTTTTTTGTAAATCGACCTTAAAATTCCCCAAAACGCTTATGTTTCGATGTTTGTGAAACACCCTGTATATAGGTACTCTCTTTGAATTTTGAATTTGGATCCTGAATATCGTATGGTTACCAAGAACCCATGACTTATTCGCGAACCCGTAAAACCCTGTATAGTAAATTATTTTCCTGAAAATACGACAAAAATATAAAGGAGACCATACACGACAAGCTACAAAAGGACCAGATATAAAGGTAACCAGACACATCTTAGTGTTTCTAAATATTTAGATTTTGATGAGCTTATTAGCTGGAATTTTTTCCTCGATTTGACAACGTCGCGACTACCTCAACCAGCATCAGCACTGGCCTACAAAAGCCCAGGATCAATCGAGTCAAGGGCGGGTGAAGTTCAAGGCTTGCACCCTGCATTTTGCAAACTCACTTGGCGATAACACTCACGATAAAATAATTAAATATTATGTAAAGCATCAAAATTATGGACGTTGAATTGAAAATAAAAGATTGACTAAGAATTATATTTATTTATGCAAATTCGACTTAAAGTGAACGTCTAGCAAGATTTATCTGACTCATCTTAGTTACTCCATGCTCGTAATCATCAATAAAATATTACATGGGTGTAACTTATGTTGCAAATATGGTAAAATTGAAATTCCTGCTTTAACAACTTTGACCCTTATTATTACAACAATGAATTTAATTTTAAACAAAATCTTACCTCGACTACTTTGAGGTTTTGCTTGTCCAAAAGAAACTCCATAGATTTGTGGGGCCGTCCCGAACTGTTCTGGGACCCATCGGCGTTCTTGGGCACCTGCAATCTGGGCTCGCAGCCCAAATCTAACAGGCTGCGCGCTTTTGCGTTCGCACCATTCGTTATTACCTGGAAATAAGAACGAAAATTTAAAAATTAATACAAATTAGCCACCTATGAACAACAATTTGAGTTGCAAACAATAAACAAGCCACGTTGCCATTATTTAATGACTACAAAGTTGAGGTTATGTAATGCAATAAACATAATACATAACCTTTGTTTGCGGTACCTATTAACCATATTTGATTTAAGATAAAAGAGTTTACTTGATGAGTCTAACTTACCGTAACTTCAGTATCGAGATCGGTCTCGATCAACCCCATGGGTCCGTCCATAGAGACATTCCCGTGACGTCCCGCAACGTCTCTGGATTCGACGACGCCGCACGCCGAATCGATTGTCCGTCTCCGGCGTCGCTCGTCGTTGAAACCGACGCCGTTTTGGGCGGCGTGCGCCTTTTTGACGCTGGCGTGCACCACCCGAGGGGGCGGCTGTTTAGGCAGGGGCGGCTTCGTCGACACAGGGGCGGCATTGTTGTTGTCCACCCCCGAGGCGCCTTTTAGCGGGATGTAAATGTAGTCGGGTTTTTGGCTGTTGGTACCTGTCGTGGTCAGGTTCGGGTTGACGGTTTTGTTAACTGGGACTCCTGAAATGGAAAGACATAATGTTCAGATAAGAGTTCTTGATTTGATAGTTCTAGAATTCAAAAACCGAACACGAAATTTCTATACATATTTTTCAAAAAATTCCATACTCCTGCTCATACTCCGAACAGTTCTAGAACAGCAAATGGTCCAGGAATTCATAGTTCTGAAAGAAAAACCCCACAACCTTGATATTGCAATTTTTTTTTATTGGATCGAAAATTGGATCAAGGCCCTCTCTCCGTCTCTCGGTTTTAAGTATAAATATATCTGGAATATGTTTGGGTGTTTACAAAGAGATCACACAGTTACAAAAATAATCTATGAGAAATTCCCGGGACTAGGATTTATGTTGAACAACTAATTTTCGATTATTTGAAATTTTTTGAATATTGCTAGATACTACAGTCAATTATTATTTTGCGGTATTTAAAAGTCAAATAAAAGTATTAATCTTCATAATGTTGGTCAAATGTTTTTGAGCTCCAGACTCAGAAGAATCATAGGGCCTAATAGTCAATACATCTAAAGATCCACAAAGGGAGAACATCTAATTTTATCATTGACCACCCCCAAGGCATGGGGGACACCAGGGGTGCGTTCAAGGACGGCAATGCTAATGCCAAAACCTACTTTTCCCCCTCCACCTGTAATGCCGAACCACGTAGGTTGAAGCCGAACTCGAACGCAAAATGCCAATTTTGGCTTGGCTGTAGCCATTCCTGAACGCAGCCCTGGAATATTCAAAATGCGATTTTTAGCGCCAAAATAGTGTCCAATCAAGAGCCAGGAATATTCAAAATTCGAATTCGATAACCAATCAAAAGACAAATTCAATTTGTTCTTAAAAAGCCAAAGCCCCATCTACTTTTCAGGCCGGAAAGATCCCAAGACCCTAAGAAAAAGGCCTTTTGTTTGTTCAAACGAAGACCTTGATTTTGAAATCGCAAAAAAGGGCCCAGAAGCAGGGGGGCCCCGGCCTTTGGGAACCTTTTCTTTTAAGGCTGAGCCCCCCTACAACTTGTCAAAGAACGATTTGTTTCGATATTTTATGAATTTATAAATTTTAAACAAATAATTATTATTACAACTTACTTCTGATTGGTTTTGGGGCCACTTTGCACTTGAAAGACACTAAGTTTAGCCAGAAAACGGGACCCCCCCCGAGCCAGAACAAACCGACAAACGCCATTTTGGATTGATTGTCAAAAATTCTAAGGCCTACTTTGAACCGTCAAATTTTTTGACTTTTGCGCCAGGGTTGTTACGTTTTCGTGCCAGGGTTGCTGCATTTTTAATTTTTTCCCCAAACTGCAATTAATGTGGCCTACAAGCATCGTTGCTTCTAGAATAATGTAGATAATTCGTTTGCGAAGCGGGATCACATAGATACATTTTTTTTAAAATTATTTTAGGCAAGTCTTTAAAATCATCAATGACATACAGTGTTCGTGTTACTTAAGGACTGACCACCCTTCTAAAATTTTAATTTAAATAAAATTTTTAGAAGGGTCGTCAGTCCTTAAGCGGGACACACTGTATATATGCGCATTTCCACCGATGTAATGCTGTCCTTGTCATTTGACAGCAGCAAAACAAGGATGGGTTACTCAATAAGAGAAATACGCATAAGCAAATGGTGAATTTAAAAACTTGGTCATACCAACATATACCGCTCAAAGACTTTGAATATAATGGCGATTTCCATTTGTCAATCAGTGCGCACTAAGTGTATCCCCATCTTTTTCTAAAACCATGTAACATGTACGGATATGGATACATTTTTTTTGCACTGGTTCGACAAATGGAAAACGCTATAAAACTACAGGAAGGAGCATAACCTCGAAACTGTGCGACCAAAATATGTGGAGGTTGCATATGGCCGACTAGTGTTTCCGGTTTGGCAATGGCGTATATTTATTTAAATATGATTGTCAATATTATGACTCACTCTTTTCGCACTAATCCGAGTGCTTATTATCACTTAAAACGGCTAAAATCCATTAAACATCCACTTGAATGAGGATACAGCGAACCACCAAAACAAATGATGAGTCAGACTTGGAGGCTCAATATGGCCGTTTCCGTCCTTGCGTTGTCTGTAGTGACGCATAGACAACGTTTCTTCCTGTAGTTTTATATTCAAAGCTCAAAGACGACCGCGCATCAGAATAAAAGAAGAAAATAGAAGAATCGGCCATTTTGACCCAAGGAAAATACACAATCTAAGGAGTGCTTATCGGCCTCCTTTTGGATAATCGCCGCCATACTGGTTTTCAACTGTTTTCAACCATTGCCGACGTCATAACTAAGTCGTCAGCTGTTTAAACAGCCTACGTCAAGGCGAGAAATGTCATGCTGCTTACGTCACAACTGGTTGTTTGGCGTAGGGGGGTAGGGGGGTAGGGGGGAATTTGTTACACACCTTATGAGGATAGGCCATCCTGTAGTATAGTATGTATCATCCTTGATTTTGATCTATGCTTTGACCAATGAACTATAGCTAAAAACTAGAATGCGCATACAGTGCCATATCTGCCAAAAAAATGAAGCCATGAAAAACAGATGCCATAAGGGGGAATGTTGTTTTTTTCGGTTGCTCGCTGACATATGACGTTTTGGAAAGTTTTGTCATATTTACCTTCACAGGTTTCATCAATTGGAATACGTGTTGGAAGCAATTTCCGCCATTTAACATAATGAGTGCGACAAAAACAGATATCCCCTCCGCAGCAGCGGAGGCTTCACGTTAGTCAATATGTGTTCGCATTCCAGTTTTTGGTTATAGTTCATTGGCTTTGACATTCAATGTTTGACATTAATGAAATAATATTGGTCGTTTTCGATTCGCAATCGGTTCGGCCTCTGATTGGTTCGAATATGACAGAAGGTTGACAGCTTTTGAAGTTGGTCTGTCAAGAAAAACCAGAGATATGTGAGGGAAATAGACGCTGCGTATCCGATTTTATGGTAACGCATAAACCCTTTTCACGTGGCTCCGGTTTAACAAACCGCAACATACCGCTCAAATTCGAGTGGTAGGTATCCATCACGTCACTTTGTAACCGGGTTAGAAAACGGTATGTCATTTCTCTAACCGTTTTGTAACCCGGTTAGTTAAACCGGAGCCACGTGAAAAGAACTATAGGGTTCCGCCATTTTTATCACTTTTATTAGTTATTTTTACTTATGCCGTTTCCGATTGGTAGATCTAGTGCAGTTTTTTTCATTTCTGTCTTTTTCTTCTACAATCTACAGGTTGATGAAAAGGGTTGAAAATACACTCAGTGCTTATCAAATCGGAAACGCACTTAGTTTTTACGTCGACAACTTCAATCTGACAGATATGTGACAAATTTTTCACAACATAACCTAACTTTTGGTCGGTTACAGATTGTTGTTGTTAGCGATTTTTGCTAGTTTTTCTGAGATATTTTGATCAGAGCGGTGTTTAAAAAGATTTCTTTTTGTTATTTCTATTTATTTTTGGACATTTTCAAAGTTATGAGTTGAACCAACTCGCGAAGCTGGTTCGAATTTAGACGTACCAAGCGATGCCTGTCACCACAGATTAACTCGTCCCAAAGATAGGAAACTTCCATGTAAAATGTCCGTTCGGAGCTGTCACGAAAATAACACGTGTGGAGCTTCATGACTGCCAAAGCTATGCGGCGCTAGTATACAAAGCCACAAGCAAATGTCATCTGTGAAATGTGAATGGTGAATATAATTTGTCAATGTGTTTGTCATCAGTTAGCGGTTTGATCTGTGTTGTTTAATTTCCTATCAATTTTTGATAAAACTTTAGCTGTCACATTACCGGTTTGCAATCGAAAAAAATTGGGAAGCAAAAAGCAACTTCTCTAAATACTTCCAGTGGCGACGCCAGGGTTCTATGTTAGGGGGGCCAGACTGGGCCCGAAAAATGTAGGGGGAATTTGTTCCCAGGAAAGCGGAAATAACATCGCGGTTGTTTGTGCCCTCTTAACCTAATAGGATTGCTTATTGAACTGAAAATGGCTGCCATTTCAGCTGCAAACCTCAACACTTGGCGTGAATGGTTTAGCCTAGTTTAAAATAGTATAGGTCAAAAAAACGAATTCCTAAACGTTATAATCTTGTTAAAATCACCTTTTTTTCAATTAAAATCGAATCGAAAAAAACAAGCACAACCTGAATGGCAAGCATACCATCGAGGCCTGCGGGTGACGTCATCACTATAAGCTGCTATATAATTAGGGAATCCAAACCACGTGACTTTTGCCAACCAGTCGGCATTTCGACACCCGTTTTTTCCTTTTGTAAAACGGGCTCACTAGCTATACCTACAGCAATGACAGGGATTGACAAAAAATCGATTGTAGAAAAAAGACTGATTTACGCAAAACAGCGAAAAATTACAAGACCTGTGTCCCACTTTTTGTGCTCATGACTCTACAGGGTGGCCCAAATTCGAGCCGCATCATTGGGATCTTGGTAACCGTAAGAGATACGAGGTCGGTTAAATTATGGTAAAGTTGCGCAATTTTATGGCCAAGAGAATGCCGTTTTGAAAGTAGAAAAATTCCGAATACTTCCGGACATATTCGGAAAAAACAGAAATTTTGTAAAATCGTTTTTATTTTTTCCCGGGCTTATTTGAGAAGCAATTTTAAAATAAATGTCACTTCCTCATTAGAGAATTATGGCACTTTCAAATAGCGACGGTCACTAATATAAACGTTCTTATTTTGACATTATTGACACCTACGCATGCGCACTTATGACTAAAAATTGTGGCGGTCAGTATTAGGGAATTATTGAAATACGGCCGCAGTTGACTGTGCCGCTTTAGTGCCGTCGGCAGTGGTAAACTTTGGCATTGGCATGTCATGTCCTATTTTCATATTCCTAACCTAAAAATGCAAAGTGTAAATACGTGTTTGGTGTTCTTCTGAATAGATTTTTGTTGAATTTGTTTTATTTCATCTATATTTTAAAATGAAGGATATCATTAGGGGAT